GGCAAAGTAGCTGGAGGGCCCACTACCCCTTCCTAACTGTGCCTTTATGTATCTGCCTTTATCCTCTCTTGAAATGATTGGCATGACCAAAGGACTCTGTGGGAAAAGATAGGGAGAACAAGGAGAGTTCCACAAAGCTGCATCATGCATTAGCTGTGAATAACATAAAGTCAGGGAGCACAGCTCTGATCAGCTTTACTCCATCCTCTCTGTCCCTTTGGGGAAGCCTCAGATCACACATGTCAGCTACCAGGGACACAGCAAGAGGTAAGATGAGTTGCCTATGCATGTGAAGAATGATGTAGACACAAATGTAGAACACACTGATCAAATCCTTACATTATGGGAATATATGGTGTGCAGCATCCCTAGGTCTGCATTTTTCTCTCCCAGCTCCAATGATATCATGCTCATTCCATTTTCATGTGCATAGGAAAAAATAGCCCAAAGAGTTTTTGCATGACTTTATTTCTCCCTGGATTTTCTTATGCTTGGAAGGGAAAACAGAAATATTATGATCACGAGAATAATAAAAATGTTGATTAGGAAAGAATTTCATGAAGGCTTCTTGATCAGGATATTAATGACAGCATTGTTGCTACACCACAGAATCATTATATTGGAAAAGATCATTGAGGCCAACCTTTGACTAATCCAGCCTTGTCAACTGGACCATAGCACTAAGTTGTTCCTTGAACACCTCTAGGGATGGTGGCTCCACCACCTCTCTGGGCAGCCCGTTCCATTGCCTTACAACTCTTTCCATGAAGAAATTCCTCCTGCTGTCCAACCTGAACCTCCCCTGGTGCAGATCAAGTCTTTGTCCTCTTGTCTTGGGACCAGAGCAGCACAGATTGCATTTCCTGCCCTTAGCCTTGCACAGATTGCATTTATTACACAGGAAATCTGTAGTTTCTTTTTTTTTTTTCCCTCCTAGAAGATGAGCCTTAAAACACTTGTGCACTTTGAGTACAGGGCAGCTTGGCACACAGATAATATGGCAAACTTTCAGCAAATGATCATCAAAGCTATTAAATGCCAATCAACTTAGCTGAAATTATACTAGGTCAGCTTAGTGGCCTGTTGACAATGTCTCTCATTACTGAACTAATACTGCAATAGTTCCTGGGCAAAATGCACTGTTATTGTTTTTTTCCTGATTTTTTTTTCCTCTGTTAAAATTAATGAAGGCCAGAACTTGAAGAATTGAAACCCAAACATGGGTTTCAGACTCATGTCTGTAGTTCAGTTCCCCAGATTGGCCTGATTTTCAAAGATATTGAAACATCTTTGTTCAACAAAGAGCAACAAATCCCACTGAAGCTGATTAATATTTTGAATATTTTGTCTAGATCTTTGGGTTAAATGATTAACAGAGATATGCAAATCACTGATGATCCAAGATAACTGCTTTATTTCTGCTGACACTTCCGACAAGAGATGTCACTGTGGAAAGGAAATGAGTCAGGAGAAATGAATTTCTGAACAGTGTGAGTGCATTCCTGGCAAGACCATTCCAGGAAAATTAAACAGAGTAGCAGATCAAATATGCAGGCAGATGAACTGCAGCAGCAAAACCCATTGCACAAAGAGAGTTTCTCCCTCTGAAGTCATGACCTGTGTGGTTCTCACAAAAACCTTTACAACAGAGTGGATAGCTTCCTGAGGCTCACTCGGAGCAAAGCAAAGGGAATAATACTGAGATTTCATCCTTGTGTGGTGTTTGTATTCACTCACTTTTAATACAGAAACTGATTTGTGACTTTTCCCTTGTGAGACAGAAAAGATCTACCTGAAAATGGTAAAACTGTTACTCCTCCAAACTCAATCAAGTTGTTATTTGCTTACACAACCTTAAAAAAGAGCTTTAAAAACTTTTAGATACTGTTATTACCAGGTTGGATTGCATAATGAAAAATTAAGTTTGTGACAATCTGTGGTCATCAAGGATGGGACAGAAGGCTTGCATGCCCTGAAGTCTGTGGGAAATCTGGCATTGAAATTAGAGACACTAATAATTCAACACTGATCTTCCCTTCAGAAATGTTGTCTACATTCTACTTTGCCCAACATTTCTCTGTGTGTCTACTATACATATTTAAATCACTATGGCTTCTGTATTCCATGCAGGGATTATGTCTGAGCAAGACACTTGCTTATGTACTCGTTTAGATGTCACCTAAATTAAGCCATCTTCTGGCTTTTGTTCCTGGAACTTCACATTTTTCATGTTTTTATGTTTTTTCCAAAATTGCTCTTTATATTGACATTTGATTTAATACCTTCAGCAGCCCACACATTAGAAGGGAGCATGTGTCACTGGTATGAAGAAAAAAATTCTCAAGAAAGGACAATTATTTTAAGCAATACCAACAAGCTGATCTAGTTTCTCCAGCTAGGATGCTTTTGAAGTGATGCCATGACTATGGGTTAAATTTGAATTCAGTGGTCCTATAGTAAATCGGAAGAGAGGGAGGAGTGTTTGGTCTATGCCCTGAGTTACTGATACAATTCCCCAAAGTCAATAGAGTTGAAGGAGCAGAACTAAATATCCTGCTCTGGTTTAGTGACATTACCTTGGATTTATGTAAGTAGAGCTGAGAGCAGACACTCATTTAGCTGAATATTGCCAAGAGGAAAGATCATGGTGAGCTGCTAATATTTGTTGCTGGAAACAATCCAGGAATGATAAAGAAGCCATATTTTATGAAGCTTTGAAACCATCCTCTAGGCACACTATATGGGTCAAGGTACTAGGAAATAATGAAAGTCAAATGGGTCCTAGACCTTTCTAATCCTGTCTGATCCAATGATCCTCCAATTCTGGTCATTTCACTTGAGTTTCTTAATCAATTTCAGGCCAGCGATGAAGGCAGGTATAAGAATGCTTTAAAATCCAGCTAAGTTCCAGCTTAAATAAAAAAATATAAATATATTCACTTTTTCTGCTTTCTGCAAATGATTGTCAGAATTTCACACAGAAACTCAACTGTTAACAACCCAGTCTGGGAAGGTGCTGAATGCGGGAGGTGAAAGCCATCAGCTGCCAAGGTGCAGTAACACGATGGCTCCGAGTGCAAAGCTGTGCCACGGTCTGTTCTGAGAGACACTTAAACAGAGTTCTGTCATAAACTGGTTTTACTAAGGAAACAACCTGTGGGCTGAGAAATCAGCACAGAAAGGAAGTCAGGTTTCTTGCTCTCAGAACACATACAGGCTTGTGCAATTTTATAACCAATGCACTTTTTTTTTAGCAGCTTGGAATTTAAGACTAATCTATCCCCAAAACTGTTCCCTGGTTTCCTTTCACTCTCAAGGGTAGATTTTCCTTCTAGGGCAGGCAAGCAGAAAATATTATGAACCTTCACAGGAACTTGGAAATATCTGATGATGCTCTCATATGATGGCTTGGATGCTCTCTCTCAGTCTAAACAAAATATCTTCTGGGGGAAAAAAAAGGTATGTAAGAGTGGGTGTATATGTATATGAGTGCTTATGCATGTGAATTTTCTTTCTGCCTCTCCAGTGAAAGAGGAACACCTAACTTTTTTTTTTTTTTTTTTTTTTTTTTGACATGTTAAGGTCTGGTAAACTATGAGTGAATTCTGTTACTATTTGGTTAAATTAATGTAACAAGGTTCAGGGTAATTATCCAACTTCTTTCAGGTTATGGGTGGATATATGATTTTCATTTCATGACTATTTATGTTTTTGCCAGTAATAGCAGATGAGTACTACTTCAGACTGAACGTGAGAGTGGTTTGAAGAATCAATACAGCTGATTGTTTAGCAGTCACAAACCCACAGTTCATATCCCAAGGAAAATGCTGCAGTAATATTGGGCATTCTGCAGGCTCACCTCTTTGGAAGTCAGTGAAATTTAGATGCCTGATCTGATAAACAATACCAAACTAAAGCCCTTAAATTCCTATTACAGAAACTAGTTCAAGTTAATTACTAACAAATATTCCCCTTGAAGTCTACGGTTATGAATTTGTCAGATGAAGCCTCAGACACTGACCCTTTTGTCAAGGTGAACCTAATCAACCCAGATAATTTTTTGTTTATCTGATGGAATGAAGGAATGGAGCTCTAATGACAATCTTCTCTAATTCAAACTGCTGTGTAAATATCATAAAAACATACATTAAAAAGATGGCCTGGTTCCAGGCATGAAAATATTGCCCTTTGTGATTAATCAAATGAAGAGAATGGAATGATTATAGTGCCAATGCTAAGAAAAAAATTTAAAAGATCAACCAGCAACAGCAGGTTATACTACTGTTTATTTTCCATAGTGCCTATACTGTTTTAGGTCGGTTAACATGCTCTGGAAGCCTTTAGGATCATGAAGACTGGTCTCTATCTATGACTTGGATCATTGTGCCTTTCATCCCATGTCTTAGAAATATTCCTCTGGCATAAGACTTACCTCTTAGAACACTGTCTTATCAAAGAAGGGATGGTAAAATAGAAGACAATCCAAATAATAGAATAAATTCAATAGCAGATAACAAGATATTTGCTTCTTATCTTAATATTTCTTTTGCTTTGATTCATTCCTATGTATTTTTTTGCCATCTTTTTGCCAAGCAAAGTTTCTGACTGTGCATATTGTGGATGACATGAAGTCCCCTGGCAGAAATTACCTTATCTATCTTTTGATATGCACACTATAGGTTTGTGTCTGAGATAGTTATCCTTTTGTAGTCAAATCCAATAGAGACAATAGAGTTGAGAGTGTGATTGATCTGATCAAAAGTTTCTACCTTCTCTAGGATAAGGAGTGCCACACCTTAAAGTTTTCTGAGTTTACAGGCCTTTCCTCTATTGATTATGAAGAAAGGTCCTAGCCAGTTTAGATATAGAAGTCCACAGTGCAGTGAGATGTATCTCCTCCCTCCTGCCTTTAATAGAATGTCAATCACACCCTCAATAGACACATATACCAGGGTTCCTGGTCTTCCTTTTTTTTTTTTTTTTTTTTTTTTTTTTTTTTTTTAAGACAATATAAAAAAAACTTAGAATACTCTGATAACACAATTGATGTTCTGTATCCACAGATGTACCACAGTGAGTGACTAACCTTGCATCATCATTCAGACATTCAGACAGCAAGCAACACTGGACATGACTAAATTTTTCTGTATATCTGTTGTGAATGTGAAAAAAAATTACTCATGTGAGTTTTTAGAGTTTCTCTTTTTCAATCTGTCTGAGGAGACAGATTGCTTCAGTTCTCTTTTAGCATGATACAGATGCCTCACCTAGAAAAATAAATCTTATGTTCACTTGTCTTCTCTTGATAATGTCTGCAGGTAGCTTAAAACTTTCCCTGATTGCTTTTTATCTCTTTTTTGGTCTGTTTTTAAAGACATTCCAAGGTGTTGCTGGACAGCTCCTTTTCCAAAGGGTAGCAGCAGCAGAGGTAACAGGAAACCAAAGAGCATCCTGCTTAGGCTGATGAGCCTTTTGTTAAAAGGACATGTGGGTTTTTAGTGTAGTCTACCATTATTTGAAGAAGACCAGAGAAGCAAACTATGTCAACCCTCTGATGGTTAGCGCTACCTTTTCCCTCTACTTTCTGTATTCTTTTGCCTTCATGGTTTAACCTAGTTACTTTGGGAGATTGTCAGCACTTTTACCAGACTGAGATAAATATCTGTTTCTTGAGAATGAATGCAGTTATTATTTACATGCAGTCCTACTCATTTGTGAATGCCTATGAGATAACTTTAACCTCAGCACTGAGATTTGACTCTATATATGTAAATAACACTATTTTATTAGCCGGAATGGCAAGATCTGTGTAGATAATGATGCCTTTGTTACGATGGAAAGATTGTTATGGTGGAAAGATCATGACGGTGCAAAGATTGTCAGACTAGATGTGAGATATTATTTAAACTTTGAGGAATGGGACACAATGTAGACAAGTATTCTCAGCCATGATATAGCTGTGTCACATGTTTTCATTTTGAAACATAACCACAGGTTGTAAATGCAAACAAGGCTGGGGAAAGCCAAAATTGCCTCCTTCTGAGAACTATAAAATGACATTTTGGGAAAAGATGGTTCTGTTCTACTCTGTAGTGGTTTCTGAATATTGGCTGTGATAATGTCAAAAAAATCCAGAATTTGTACTCTGAATGCTCTTATCTGAGCTATTTGCATATATTTTAATAGCACATAAGGCAGGGATGAACCTGTGCCTCTGACTTGAGTACACCATTCACAGTCATCCTGATCTGGTGGAAAGCTCTGGAGACCAAATCAGAATATATCTCTAACTGTTATTTTTATGCACCCACTCGGTGAATGTTGTTGCTGCTTACTTTCCCAGTTCAACTAGTCCCCTAATCTCACAAAATCATCGTGCCTGTATGCACTGATGGACAGCACCAAGGCAATGGCTCTCATAGCAGGTGGTTTGTGGCCCCTCAAATAGGCTCTGAGAAATCATGGTGAGAAAATAGAGGAACTGCATTCAACAAGGACTGCACAACTATATCTGTGGTAGATATTAAGTATATAAGGTGTGGAAAAAAAAATTACTCAGGTAGATCTGCTGATGTAAGTGTGGCATGACTGAAGAGGAATGTACCTTCTGTGTCTCTAGAAAAGTCTATCAGTGCAATACAAGAGCCATATTGGCTAATAAGTTATGATCCTGGTTAATAGTTATTGAAATGGTTAATCTTTTGTTGCCTCCATTATCTACAACATTTTTCCAAAGTGATGTGATAATATCCTTTTTGCCTATTTAGGGGAGCCTTGCACAAATCATTTCTTGAGGAAGTTGATAGACAGGTGGTAAGAATGCTAAACAAATTAATTTGAAAATTAATGAATATTTTATGTCTTCTGTGAGAAGATGTTGAATGTATATACATTTTAACTTATTTGGCTACTTAAAGCACTGCCTAGAAAACAAAAAATAAGTTTAAAAAATGACCAGCTGATCATTACTATTTGATTACTTTTTTTAGCAATGTTTCAGCTGAATGCATCTATTTTTCTAACCAGTCACTAGGAGAGCTTCACTGTGATAATGAAACCATTTTTAATCTTTAGTAAACTAAATAGCAGAAAGGTAGTCCAAAATAATATAAAATATGATTCTGAAATGAAATCCACAAAAAGTTTAAGAACACAGCACTCCTGCTGCTTTTTGATGTGAAATATCTAGCAACCTTATTTTTAAGTGCTACTCAGGTGACTGAGGTATTAAAAAGTTAACTAGACTCATATATTGCTTCTAGGTACATTTTTGTGGGTTTGGAAGACAAAGAGACATCTCTCATGACAGCCATAAAAAAATCTAAATCTGTCCTCCTTTCCCAAGTTTTTCTTTACAGTAACATTTTAGCTCTTAGCAATGCCTGCTGATGGATACATTTCATCCAGAAAATTCAATTGCCTACTCCTGTTGCTGCTATGGTTACAGATAATGACATAACTTCTTGTTCTGGTAGAGACAATGATAAGGGTTGTTATGATGGGTCAAAGCAAAAAGTTTCAAAGTTAGAAAAACTTCTCTGAAAGCCAGGTGGTTGAGTAGCACTTGAAGCAAAATCCTATATCTTTTCTCTAGGAGTTGAAGAAAGAGAAAGGTTTTCTTTTTCCCTTCTCTGACAGTTTTAAAATTGCATGCACCCTGTTAAAACATGGCTATGAGTATGTGTACTTTTCTAATTATTACTCCAGAATAAAGAACACAACAATATTAGAAGGCACAGGTGAAATCAGGTTTAGAGGATGATTAGATCCAATCCTACCCAAATGCTTCCAGCAGACTAAGACCCAAAGATTTGTGTTTTTCCCAAAGCTGTGCTTGTTAAATCCATCTCCTTTGCCTGTGCTCATCGCAGCTCATTGACTCCCTGGGAATGCCTCCATCACCCCACAAAAGCCTGTGTTTTCAATGAGGTCCAATGATTTTACATATATGCAATTTTTGCATGGTTCTTGTCACTTATATTTCAGTAGTTTATTTGGGATTTTCCAGGAATTTCTCTTGCAAATCTCCAGCTTTCTAACTCTTTCTATTGATAAGGTGATGTGGGGGAAAAGTACAGGGAAAACCTGTCTTTTGGAGGTCTACTGCTTTTGAAATATCTCCTGTAATTCTCAGGGTTTTTCTGTCCTTTTCAGAGCCTGACAATAGGAAGGATACAGCCTGGGTATAGTGTTCCCCAAGCCTTCATTTCCAGCAGCTCTAGTAATTTTGCCAAGCCACAAGGATCAAAAACCCTGGGCCAAAATCCTCTCTTATTTACACTGGCACACATTTGAAGATCAAGCCAGCAGAGTCAACACAGTTTCACAACAGCGAAGGTGATATGAGATCAGAGTTTGGTTGTCTTTCAAGGAATTCAAATATTCAAATATATTTCAGCCTACACATTTGTTTAGTATTTCTGCATATTCATGTTAGCCATGAGGATTGCCACATCCTATTCTCTGACACTGTCCACCTCTGCTCAGGTGCTTCATTGCATAGGCTGCATTAGTGCCAAAACATGAGACTTTAATGAGATAATGGAAAGCTGTAGAATTAGTAGTTAAATTCAGCACTGCTAAGTGCCATCTGCTATTATTGTTGTAATGTTCTCACAATATCCATTCAAATTGTAAGGAATGTTTTAACTGGTTCCTGGAGTGGACTAGAGTTCTCTTTACATGGCATACTGCTAAGGGCATACATTTTATGCCCTGGGATGCTTCATAAGAGCAGGAACGAACATGCAGAGCTTTCTGGGACAACTTGGAGAACAGCACAGGGAAGAAAAAGCTACACTTGTTCAATGCCATTCCAGCACAGTTCCCTCCCAGAAACTGTCTGGACCCACAGGCACACCCAGGCTTTGTTCTGAAGGGAATTCATTTCTTCACAGCAAAATAAATTCCAAGAATAAATAACAGTTATGAAATTTATGAAACAGGCAGGGATAGTCACAGAACCAAGACACGCAACTGATACTCAGGTTATCTCATAGCATGAGCATAACTGGATTAGGTTTCACCTATTCTATTTGCTAGTGTGTTGTACTGAAAAAGGGTCTGGACAACTTGCAAAGGGTTAGAGCCAACAATAGGAGCCTGCATGGGGTCACACAGCTGGCTTCACTCCCCATTTGATTCCATGGACCAGCATTTGGTTAAAACTAAGGCTCCTTTTTTCCATTGTCCTGCCTGGTGCTGACAATGAATAGGCTCCTGGGGTTGTGGCTTAAGGGGATTATTAGGCAAAAGAAAAAAACATGCCTCATACAAAAATCCAGCACTAACATTTATGAACATTTCAAGGACTGATGAAGAGAAGGTGTTGAGCTTTAATTGTAGGCTTTCTCAATGTACAAGGCAGAAGAAGTAGACCAAATTCAGGTGGAAGTTTTGGCTCCCTTAAAGCAAACATATCAGGGTCAGACCAATGCTGGTTTTAATTGCTTGAACCAGAAGGAAAAGAAGACAACAAGGAAGGGCCCCTATATTGGAGCACATTATGTCCTGCTCCTGGTTTTTCTCAAATCCACATGTTGCTGTGGTTATGGTAAAAATGGTGTTTGAGTGGCTGGTATGATTTTACTGAATACACAGCATTACCAACGTTGCCAAACATGCTCATTTTTACACAGACTCTTCCTGCCCTTTACAGTGTCAATTCTTTGAATGGTCTTATGGCATCAGAAATAGAAGGATCTGGGTTTTCATGACATTATTCACTTCTCTGTGGGAGCATATGAATGTAAAATCTGCAAATAAGCTTGCCTGGGGACAAAGGTTTTTCTATTAAGATTTTCCATGAGGCTCCACAACCTTCAGCATTACTGAGACTTCAGTTGTGTGTTGACTCATACAGAGAAGTCAGGATGAGGTTATTTACTTTCTCCAGTTTTAATTATTCCTCTCTTTTTCAGACCACCGCTCTGCTGCTCTGCTCTAGGTCATGGTATGTGCATCAACATCTTTTGGGAGAAAGAAGGGGAGGAGCTTTGAATGTAGCTTGCTGCATATGCAATCTTATATATGCAGCTCATGACCCTGGCCAAGTAAAAACTGAAATGTAAGGAAGCACTAATAGATTGTTCTTTATTTCTCCCTCTCTTTTCCAGTAAAAAACATTCTGTCTATGATGTTGATTGAACCTTTACAATTCCTTCCTGTCTTTATAATTAATTTCCTATTTAATATGTATGTACTTTGATTTTTCTTTTAATGTTTGTACACACTTTTCATTGTAAGAGTGATTAAAATTTGCCATACATTTTAAGACCCTATTAGCTCTTTGCTTGAGTAACGAAGAATTGAGACACTTAAACATAATTTCTGGAAATATTTACTCAGTTATCCACTTTTGGGGTGCAGTTGTTTATTTCATAACAGTGGCCTGAAAACAGACCACAGATAAACTGTCAGCTTTGACTGAGTTTCAATTGGAAACTTCAGTTTTTCAAGTGGAGCTCAATGAACATGAGCTGATGTATCTTCAAATCAAGATAATATTGATATTAATTTCTTGGAAAGTAAGCTGTTTGATATTTTGTTGTATATTTTCTAGCCTCTGTGTTGGAGAATGAGGTTTTACCCTTTCTGCATTTGCGTGTTTAGTGCAAGCCATTTACTAAAAGATCTATTTCTAGCTCAGAATCATTAATACTGTCACTCTTTTTCAGCTTTTGGATACACTACTAGTGTATTCACTAGTGGTGGGTTGTTGACCCTAGCTGGACTCCTAGTGCCCACCAAAGCTGGATGGGGAAGAGAAAATACAAAAAAAAAAGCTCATAGGTTGAACAGGGAAAGATCATTTATCAGTTACTGGCATGGGCAAAAGAGGCACAAATTTATTGCCAATCTAATCAGAGTGGGGTAATGAGAAATTAAAATAAATCTTAAAACACCTTCCCCCATTCCTCCCATCTTCCTGGGCTCAACTTCACCCCTCATTTTCTCTCTCTCCTCCCTCTAATGGTGCAGGGGGATGGGTCACGGGTGCTGTGGCCAGCTCATCATGTGTGTTCTCTGCCTCTCCCTCCTCAGGGTTGGGCTCCTCACATCTGCTCCAGCATGGGATCCTTCCCATGTGAGACAGTCCATCACAAACTTCTCCAACGTGGGACTCCTTCCCATGGGCTACAGTTATTCATGAACTGCTCTAGCCACGGTCTCCCACAGGTTCTGCCAGCAAACCTCCTCCAGTGTGGACTCCTCTTTCCATGGGGCCACAGGCCAAGGAGCCTGCTCCAGCATGGGCTTCCCATGGGATCAGTCTCCTTTGAGCCCCCACCTGCTCAGCACTGGCTCTGTGAAATGGAGGGGAAGCTTCTACCAGGTCCTCACAGAAGCCACTGTCTACCATAACCATGCCAGACAGACTCCATGGCAAAGCTCCTGGTCTAGCAGAAGAGATATATTAAGCAATCCTATGAATTTCTTAATATGATCTCAACTTTCCTGCACAGTTATCCAGGAAACCAGTGGGGAACAAGCATTATATCCTCTATTAGTAGATTTTGTCTATCTAGATGGAAAAAATATTCAAAGAAGCTTTTCATAATTAATTTCTGCATGCCATATGTGTGCTCATGAGTGCTGTAAAGTAAAGCACAAGAACTGTGATTTGTTTTGTGTTCAATGTGACCAATTTTGTGCCAACAAGTGATTGTGCTTGTAACTGCCTGTTTGGCATGTGCAACAACGTGTTTGCACTTCTAAATGTGTATTTGGGAGAATACAAACCAGGACCTCACAGTTCACAACAGAGCAAATGAAGCATGGCAGTGAGTCACAGAAAAGACTGGCTTTGCATGCAAATTCTTTGAATCTGGAAATGGTTTCTGGGATGAAAGCATCTTGTTTCTCTGGTTAGTTCTTTATAAATTGTTTTAAAACTTGCTTATTAGCCGTAATTTGTCTTTTGTGAGCTTGGTGAACAGGTGTTTTTGCCCTTAAGACCCTTAAGACTCATAAAGGAACAAGATTTCTTTTTATTTACATTTTTAAGTGCTCAGTTGTCACAGCCAGCCATTATGCAAAACTGATTCCAGTGACTAATTTGACTTGACATTTTGATGCCTGTTTCTTTCAGAGTTCCATGTTATTTGGCTGATCTTGGCCTGTACCATGTCATTCAGCAACATATACCTCCATTTTTTAAATATTACTCTACTAAAGAACTATATTCAACCTGTCTGTCTATTTTCTTATATGTATCTACTCCTAGCTGTCCTGGATTTTTCTTTATGTCAGCAAGGTCAAACTCATTCCTCTTCTAATTATACACAGTACCTATTCACATCTTTGCTATTTAAGCATGTCAGCTGTTGAAGTAATTACATTAGTGTGAATGTCAAAGAAAATTAGGGAAAAGGAGGGAATACAAATAATTCAAAGCTTTAAGAGGAAAAGAAATTTATGCTTACTGTCCCTCAATGTACTATTAGACAATATAGTTTCAGGTGCTAAACAGTCTGGGGACCTGGCTTGAATTTAGGTTTGAAAGGCTAAATTCAAACCAAAATTGAAAGGTATTCTTCACTATTCTTTCTTATTAATGTTTAGATGAAAGCCATAAGCTTTTAACCAAATTCATTACTTTCTGGGAGGATCTGGATGTCTGAAGAAGAAATATTCAGCCTTGCTAACTGAAGTTAATGTCTTTAAGATTGCTTAGAACCCCCCAGAAAAGAAACAGTGTACTAACTTGTATGAAGGGAAGAGTTGCCAGGCCCTGCTGATGAAAACATAGTGGAATCCAATAAATGTTCCATTTGTATTACATATCTTCCTTCTGGGAAAATGTATTGAGAAATTTATTATGATTTGCAGTTCAAGTTAAAATCTCTCTTTGCTTTTTGAGTAAAGACCCTATGTTCTATTCTTTATGGCACAGGACTTTACTGGTAGAAATCCTCTCATTTAGCAGTGGGAAAAGCTTAGACATCCTGATTCTCTTATATGTTTGTGGTTTAGCATCCTTTTCTTCTGGTGTGTGCAGTTCCAGCCTCTTGCTTAGAAAGGCACAAGGAGGGAAGGCTTGTGCACACAGGGAGAATTTTATTTTAGTGGAGTTTTGACTGATATATTTTCACATATCTTCTGATTTGTGTTCCCTTTGGGTAGAGACAGCCAATGTAGTATTTGGCACTTAAAAGATTACACAATTAATCTTGCAGATGTTAGTCTGCAAAGAGCCCTAAACCAACTTTCCCAGTGATGACCATTTTCTGCTGCTGTCCTACTCAAGTAGCCCAGTTGTTGTTTAATCTTTACAGGGAGAGTGGAGGCCAGCTGAGCTTTCTCACCTGATTTTGATCGCCTCAGGAGCAGAGAAAAACACCTGTATTTTTCTGGTTGATTTTTCCCAAAGCAGAGTTAAATGTTCAGAGTGTATTTAATCAATTTTTGACAGTGGTGTATTCTGCAGTTGTGGTTATATGTGGGGGCCACAGCAAGAGAGCACCACTGTTAAACATTATGTTTTAGTGCTTTGATTTTTGCAGTCAGTTACACTTACAGAAATTGAGTAACAACGAAGCCATCATATGTGCTAGAGGTCAGTGAAACAAAAAAAATCTATGTTTCAACACTGGTGATGAGAAGCTTCTTTCTCCAGTTGAGATAGAATGGACTGGATGATTGGATTCTACTAATTCAGTAATATTACATCTGAATCTCTTCTGCATCATGAAGTGAAGGTAAGGTATATGATTATATCAACAATTACATTGAATTTAAGGGGTTTTTTGAAACTGGCTACTTTACTCCTGTTCATGTTTCAAAGCCATCCATGTACCAGACTGAATTTTTTCAGTTATGCATTTATTTGTGGAGGAATACCAGTCAGGTACAAGACTTGCAAATTGCTTCTGAACTAATCACTTTCAATTTACGAAAAAAGAAACAAAGCTAAATAAAACAAAGCCTTTCTCACTTTTAAGACAAAACTGATTTTTATTGTAAAAATCTTCATTATAAAATTGACCTATTTTAACAACAAAACCCTCATAGGCTGTATATTTCAGATTTTAAAATATGTTTCTCTCTTTTAACTTAAAATTATTTAGAAACTGGATTGTTTTGTCTGGGCAAAAAACATCCCAAAACAATCTTTTTTCAGTTCTATCCAGACCTTTTCTTCAAAGCATTTTTTCCAGTGCTTTTTCTTTTTTCAAGTTTGTCCAGCTTCTCGTGAAAATAACTTTTGCATTTCATATTTTAGGTTAATCAGTCTGATTTGAAAATTGCATTAACTTCTGTGAAAATTTTCCTTTCCTTATGAAACCAAATGAAAGAAAGTGATGCAGCATGAGGTTTTATTCACACAAGCTGGAATGAGAAGGGAAAAAACAGAGGTGAGCTGAACTGGAAGAAAAGCCACAGTGGACATATGCATAAAACTCATATTGAACTAAAAGAAACAAAGCCTTGAAAAAGATTTAAGAAAAATCTTGTCAAAATGGACTGATCTTTATAATAAACACACTTGTGATCTAATAACTCATTTCATGTTTGGAGAAGTTGGGATTGATATTTTGCAACAGGTTCCAATGTCATACTTGGGTAATTTTTTTGATTTGTTGCAATTTGAAGGACTGTGAGCTAGACAGGGCTGTTGAGCCCAGCATAAACAGCTTCAGAGCTATCAACTCTGGAAAATCCCTTTCAACAGAAACCATCCAAAGTTCAGGAACATCACTATTACATTCAAATTGGGTCAGTTTGTTATGAGAGAGCTCTGAAAGAGATTATATCATTTCCTGACATTAAAAACACACATTTGAGGTTTTTTTATGATAGCAGTGTTGATTGGTTTCAGAGTGTTTCAGCATTTTGGCATGCCCATAACATGAGGATGTATCATCAACGTTGTAATAAAAGAGCCAGGCTTGATGAAATTTGACCTTCTAGAAACTCCCATTGAGAGGCAAAGCATTCACATCTTAGTACTTGTCTTTTTATCTAGCAAGGGGGTTTTACAGTCTAGATTCGTTGTTCATGCCAGGAAAAGAATTCTTCTTCTTCATTAAAAAAAAAAAAATCAGGTTTGCAAGTGAATGCTTAACTTTTGTGTTTTACAGTTGTGTCTGCAGAGAAGATAAATTGCAATTCTTCAAATCTAAAAAATTCCAAACGTGGAGTTACAGATGAAAGACTTAAAAAAAGTCCATTTAATCTGAATGTTGAATCTTTCTGATTTGTTTTGGATATGTGTCTGCAATTTTTACTATGTTGTTATTTATTTCTAAATTGGTCCCTTTAGGTACAATTATTTTAATAGTCAAAATAAAGTAAAATAATAGTTAGTATATTAGAATGCAGCAATTTTTACTTGCAATTCTAAAAGAAGGTGGTTGGGTGCATGATCTATTGCCTGCTCTCAATTTTCAATTGGATTATTAATCTAAAGTATTCTAATTCTCAAACGTATTAATTTCACAATAATTCACAACGTGAATTCAAATCAGTTAGGAAAACTAGTCCAAGTAGATTCAATTACATAAATTAAAAGGTATGTCCATACTTCTGCTTGTTTTTGTTTATATGATGTGTCTCAAAACTCTTCACATCTGCAGGCATGGAGTTATAAAATTCCATATTCTAGATATCTATGTCTATTAATGTTTATGCAAAGCAACATGTACCCTTTTTTGTACAAATGATCTATAATTATGCCATAAATTTTTAGCATGCAAATTTTTTTCCTAAACAATTGATCCCAGTGGGATGAAAAATACTAACCTGAATTTATTTCCTTATGCCCAACATATTTCACTATATAATCAGATTGTTTTTCATTAAATGAATGTTGTCTCCATACTGGCTTTCTCTATTTGAAGGTGGTAATGAATAAATTTAAACTCTGAATCACAGGTGTTTAAATTGGCTGAGGGAATAAATGTATAACTACATTCATAAATACATATCAAAGCAGTCAAAGGCTTAGCTATATATTATGCCTTGATGTGTGTGCAAAATTTCCATTACTGTTATTGGGAGATAATGTGGGTGTTGTGGGGTCAGAATATATTCCAGGTAGTATCCTGTGACATGTTTTTTTCCTAGTAGTCCCATTTTCCCTTCTTTATATGCTGTTTGCTACAGTAACATAGCATTTGAATTAGAGTTTTAGGAACTCTGAGGAAAGCAATTGCAGAATTTATGTTTGTGACAAAAAAATGATTTTGCAAGTTTCATGTTTGTACTGAAAAACCAAAGACACAGACCAAAGTATGTTTAGCCAAATGTTGACACCTAAATTGCCAATATCCATGTTTAAATAGATGAAACCCTCCTGAATTTCTGTTTTATGATTAGGACCACATACAATGATAACAGTAAAAAAAAAGGACATGGTTACTAACATTGTGGTGGCGGTGGTGGCAGCACAGGGACATCAGCACCATGATGGTGGTGCAGGAAGATGTTCATGTGGCAGAGAAAACCAGTTGTCCTGCAGGCAGGCTGTAAACCTGGCAGTTGAGAGCAAAAAATGATCATGTTGGAAATATTTCCTCAGGATGTTTAACACATTATGAAAAGTTAAATAAAAGTTCCTCTATGTCACTGAGCTAGTAACAATTTTTGTTACCACTCCAAAAATCCCCATTTTTTTCTGCCTGCATCCCAAATGACACTTCTCTGAGTTTTTATCCTGGCTAGTGCCAGGAATCATCGAAGCATTTGCAGGTTCAGAATGTTTATGCTGTTATGATGTATTACTGAGTAGTTTTATTTGTTAAAAGCACGATACAAGTATTACTGACCTTATTTAGGACTGATCTCTACAGATCTATTAGATGTAATAAACAAAGAATTAGAAGTACAGAGAAAAGCAATAAAGGTAATGGTAGAAATATTTCAGCATTGTTTTGCATGCTGTAACAAACTGCAATGTGTGCAAGCAATGGTGGGATAGGTCCTAGTACAACAGAATAATATAATTTATTTGGAAAATCTGCCAAGGGAAGGTGGCATTCTCATAGAAAAGTGTAGATTTGGAGGAACTAATTAGAGTTTTAAACCAGAAGAAAAAATGCCCATACAATTTCTTGTACCTATATCTTGCTTTGGCTATTTTGTTGTGCTCCTGGGGAATTAAGTGCATTTTGCTTGTAATAGATAGACCTTCTGGGTTTTTTTAGCCTAGGTTTCCTTATGAGATCTTGATCTACTAACTGTGGCATCAGTCTCTAGGGCAACATATGCAAACAAGTTACAGTCTCTTGTCTACAGTACTGTCATATTTCATTTTGTAAACCACATGAAAATATTTCCTACAGAAAAACAGTCCTTGCATTTCCTTATTTGTGAATTGCATGCCAGAGTGCTCCAATTAGATGTCAAGTGAAGAAGTCCAAGAGATAATGTATTTATTTATACCCAATATCTCAACATTGTTCAATTTGAGACAGATGTTATGCACAGTTCATTGTGTAGACAGACCAGATCACCTTCAACATGCTGAAAGGATTATTCAAGGCTTTTATTTATGTAAATAGCAATTTTTTGTTTTGCTGTGTCCACTCTCCAAAGCATAGGGAAATAAATAACTTCAGTAGAAGATGTGATGCTGTTTATTTGATATGGTATACCATGTCTGGAAAAATATTATTTTCGTGAAAATAAATTATTTGAAAGTCTTCAAATCTGTACCAACCAACACTGATTCCATTGAGGCCACATTTTATTCCCCTGCTTTAGAAAGGCTGTTTCTTGCATGGGCCCCAGCCCTGCCCTAGGAAAATTTTCTTAGCAAGACCTAATTTCCAGGTTGTTTTTTTTTTTTTTTTTTTTGCAAGGTTGGAGATGATCCAAGCTCCACACCTACTTCTTTGAGTTGGTTCATCTCAATCACTTGTGTCATAATTTAAATGGTTTATTTGTCAGAATCAAATGCCCTCATAATCCATCCCATGGTCCTGAAGAAGGGAGATATTTACTGAAGCACTGTTATGCCTTCAGCAAAGGCTCCAGTAAACTATAATAAAATAGTTAGAAGAAACTTTATTCAGACCATGGTAATGACTAAGCTACATTCTGAATTTACTGATGTAGATTTTCTCAGCTGAGCTATGGGGAAAAAGACCATCAGAATAAATAAAGCCAACAGTGTTGGTGCTGGGGGAAATTGGTACCATACAACAACAAAATATCTCCACTGCTATGCACTATGTGAGATTCTGTTTGATGTTTTTAGCCAAACAATAGCAAAATATGCCTATCCTCTCTTGCAAATCTGTCCAAAGCTTGGACTCACTTTGCAAGAAGGTAGGATTTTCAATGCAAGCATGTCTAATGTCTAGAAAATTGAAGAAAGTCATTTAGCCAAACTTTGGTGTTGAGGAGGACATGGAAAAGAAAGAGCCGAAAATAATTAAAAATAAATTTAAGAGAGACTTACTTAAGAGTCTAACTTGTCCATTGTATATGTGCACATACCTTACAACATATTTATTTTGAAGCAAGGTAGTTAAAATCATTAAAACCCTTTTTTTATGATATGTACTTAACTGCACTGCATTTCTCACTTGCTATTTTCTAAGTTTTGAGTGCATGATTTTGAAATGTTGTGGTTCTTTCAAAAGGGTGTCTGTATATGAAGGAGAAGGAGGCTAATTTCCTAGGTTTTTAATAAAGGAAAAAGGAGAAAAACAAAACATAAATTCCATCAGGTAGCAACTGAGTGGCATGCACAGGTACCTCTTCAGGCACAAAAACCTTTGCATCCAGCGCAGAGACCTCTTCTCTCTTGAGTTATTTTTGTGACTCCTGGGTGATGTTCTCATGCTTTCTGCTGTGCAGCACTAGCAGATACCAAAATGCACATTTTCCTAGTGGAGTTGAACAAAATAATTGCTGGAGGGTTTAGGAACTGTGAAGCTTCACATACATCTGTTCCATTTTCTCTAAGTGCTACCTGTCCTTCTATACGATGCCACACCAGACTTCCAAACTTTCGCTGAGCTGAATTCTCTCCGATACACATTGGGCTGTATCCTCCTTTGATAACTTGGGCTTAGCCATCAGCAGAGGAAACACTGAGTTCACACAAAGAGTGAGAAAGAAAGAGACATTTCCTGGCCTTGAGAGCTGGCAGCAGGCAGGGAAGCACAACCAGTGCGGAAGGAATTTCTAAGCATGCAGCTGCCCACTGCCTCAGCTCTTGTCTGAGCATGGACAAACTCAGGAGCCTTTTAAAAGGCTACAACTAAGAGACAGAAATGGCATGCAAAGTATCCTTAGTGCAGACTTCACTTTCCACCTGTTACATTTTGAGTCTCTACCACGGAAAATAACATATTCAGTGTTACTCCAAAAACAGTTTTATTTTTATTTGTCTGAAATGAGTGGTCACTGAGTGTTACCTGAGTGTCTTTCTGAGAAATGGGTGAGGTATTTTGAGTGACAGTGTCTTTAAAAATTCAGTATAAGAGAGCTAACAAGTCTAGAAAATTTTAGCCTGAGTGCTTACAGTTCGACAGAATTTTAAGCCACTGAAAATAAAAATTTATTAGGAGTGTTGGGAAACTTCAAATTTAGGTGGCGTGGCCACCTCTATTAGCAATGTATGTTAAAATTCAACAGCTAGCTGCAGAAAATGAGACTCATGTATTAGAGTGTCATTCTATTAATATGCATATGGAGAAAGAGAGAAAAGAAAATGCTTCTTTCCCTATTTTTTTAATGAGACAGAATCATATGTTAGAAAGAAAAACAGGCATACTTAAGAAATTAAATTGAACAGAAATAGGAACAACTCTGGGTTTATACATTCCCTTGACAAATCTCTCAAGTTTTTATGACTGTATAATCCAGCTCCTGTCACAGTTTTCTGCCATGGCATCTTTCAGATGATTGGTTTTGTGCATAGTTATTAGTCTGATGCTGCTAATCTCCCATTTCTGAAGGAATAAACTAAAGTACTTCTAGCTGAATGCTTATACTTTCTTTCAAAATGATGTAATTCAGGTGGCTTAATGGGAAAGTGGATGATCTAGATTTAAAGACAATGTTTGATCTTTTGTACATGCCACGTGGTCTAGAAACTGGGCAGCATATGGGCAGTATTTTACAGTTGTATCTAGAAGACAGCTAATAATATTCAACAGTAGTTAATTAAGAAAAAACAATTGGTGGGATTTCCTTCACCTGTTTTGGTAGGGTTAAAAGTAATGCATATGCACCAACTCAGTTTCCCCATCTGTGGAGGGGGGGGGAAGGTCTTGTTCCCACAGGGGACAGGTTTGTACAACAGAAGGATTAACCCCCCTGTGGAGCTGCTTATTTATTACTCTTAATGCATAGAGAGAATGATCTAAATTATTTTTGCACACCAGGCACACTAGATGGCTACACCTAATGGAGATGAAACTCACTTGGGTTGTAATAATTATCCCCCTTCCTGCAGGGATGAAGCTTAAATAGACATGGCTGTTTTGATGTCTCCTCATTGATCTCATCAACTATTAGCACCTGACTTAAGACCAAATTCTGAACAGATGCAAAAATAGTAAACTTGGTCTCCAACTATGCAGGATACAGGTGAACCCTGGTTCTGAGTCTTGTCTTTAGCAATTTGTGCTTTTTATCACAAGACATTCCTTGCTTACCTACTAAGATTAGCATAGTTCTACAAAATTGTCAAATCTTGCTTGTAGATTTTATCTGAGGCTTCAGCCAGAAAAAGAAAGTTATGTGCAGAAGACATGTGAGTAAAAAATGTGCCTTCTAGAGTAGAATGCTATTTTTGAGTGTGTTCTTAACATTCATCTGGAGCAACCAAAACGTTGTAAATGTGTGAGTATTCCTATTCATTCTGGTTTATGACCTTTCTTTTTGCTTGTTTCCAGACTTTGGAAGCTAATTCTACACATTAATTCCTGTCAGCAGTAAAGAATCAAAAGTATTTTTGTTTTCACCTCACAAGAAACTCTACAGCTTTTCTTTTTTTCAATCTTTCTGTAACCTATTCTGATTTTGGCTATCAAAAGAATAAGCATCTGTTCCCCTATTGATACCAGCCTTATGTCCCAGGAGTCACATTTGTTTTCCATTGTCACTTTAAGGTTTTCTCTCAGTATTGAATAGCAGAAGAGCTTCTTCCACAAGAGAGTCACGACCCCTAGGTGGGACCTCTAGGTTTAGCTGTAGTTTGAAGGATTATGGCACTTTTAGACAGAAAGTGGCACTACCTCTAGAGAAAGTCTTGG